AGCTGAATCCAAATGATCCACATCTTTACTTTTTCGAAATTTGGCGATGTGATTGAATTTTCACAAATTCTACATAAGTTGTTTTTTGAAATTATTTCTTGTCTTTGAAAGTTCAAGGTGTTTAGAAAAGAATCTTGACTAAGAAATTAAATGTGTTGAGCTCTTAGCAATTTTGATGTGTTGAGGTTTCTATTCTGCTGCAGTTTCTTTTTTTTTGCATCAGAAAGGACTATCAAATTTTTTTTCAAAATGAGCCACATTTTTAAAAAAATTGGCTCAGTTAGCAGAATCTATCTTTAAATGTCTTAATAGTGCAGGACATTTTTCAAACCAAGGCTATATGTTGTTCGAAAGAATTGCTAAATTGCCTTCCTGAAGAAAAAAAGTTATTCACACAAAAAATCGCTAACCTTACTTCACCATCGCATTCATGTTCTATTATTACACCTTCCTCCCTTACTTCTCCTTCTGGCAGTGTCACCATCTCGTTTTCTTTTAGTAAGTTTGTTATTCCTATGCATTTGTCAATCATTCACTGCATAGTTTTCATTTCCACACATGTTCCAGCTGTTGAGTGACAGCTACTCGTGGAAAAACTGACATATTGCAAGATGAACATGGAAGATGTTGTGTAAAAACATACAAGTTCTTGTAATATGTTAGGGATTGGACTACTTCCGTAAATCAATCTTTTTTTCTATGTAATTTCAGTGCAGAAGTGATGATCTAAGGAAAGAAGAAAGTAATTGTGAATTCTAAGTGATCTAAAGGAAATGTCATGCGGTTTATGTGCCTGCTTGTTACATAACTATGTTAAGGAAATCACGTCAAGAAATATCATACTGGAGCAGATTATTCATATAAAGCTGTCAAATAACATAAATAATAACTATTCCTTCATTACGGAAACTATTAGTACAGCAAAATTTAGTTGAACTCCTCCTTGTTTTCCCTCCGCTCAGTAATTAATTGTTGGTACAGTGTAGGGTGTAGGTTGAGTAAAGCGACAATAGTTCAATTTATTAGGTTGAACAATCAAGATGTGATAACATTTGGAAAATTTGAATCAAATAACAACAACAAAATATTTAAATATACTCTAAGCAAAGTTCGCCTATGAAGTAATCAATAATTGTAATAGCTTATTTAAATTTATTTATTCGTCACCTAAAAAATGTGAACATGCATAAACATAGATAGAAAGAAAAAACTAACAGAGTACATCCAACATTTCTAATATGAAGAAAGCATTTTACGGAATGCTCCTGAACTCCACTCATTATGAACTCACCTGAATTTAGGTGGCGGCTATAACAATATCAACTTATACATGAAAGTAGATCCGATAGCTAGAATTCCATGATTTCTTTCCGTATCTTATAGATTTCTATATATTATCAAAGCTTTCGTTGTTTTAATCATTTATACAAACTTTTCCTTTATAATAAACCGTGAATTACAGATGTTTTTCGCTCCTTTAAGCTCTCACACTTTGTACATATTTGCTTGATATTAAATATTGAGGTCCTATTAGCCTCTGCTATGTCAACCTTCAATTAAGCTCCATCATGAAATAGTCATTAGACATCAAAGTGGGTCTGCATAAAAAATTCGCATTTACTATAAAATGCATATTTTTTACTACATAAAAAAGATCGTAATTTTTTTGCTCTTGTCAGATGCTCACGGGAAGGATGAAGTCTTAACTTTTTCTTCTCAACATGCAATAGTTCTGCCTCAAATTTCCTCTTTTTTCTCTTCAAATACGTTTAATTTGTAGACTTTCCTGTTTTTGTATTTACTATATTTCATATCCTTTGTTTCCATCATTATTCTTGGCGTTACTCTTGTAAAAGGCTTTCTTTCAAGTTAATTTTTATTAGAAATTCCAGTAATAGATTGGGCCCTTTAACCACACTGAATTTCTCAATTCAGCGTTTTCTTGTCCTTTCTAAAACTGCTTGAATTTTTATAGCCAGTGCTAGTACGTTGTAGGCGTAACTCTTAGGGGAAATCAAGCTTTATTGATGGTATTTATATAGCCTAAACTCATGATACATCAAATAACATTATATCTCTCGAAAAATTTGCACTAAATTTCTCCTCCTTCCCATGTCGTCATCTATTCAACTGATTTCCCAGGCGTCTATATCTTTTTACAGAGAACGTCATTTATTCTATCTAGAGCACTGTATTTTTAAAACCTGATGGCGTTTGGCGGCTTACTGGAGGGATTTCTCGCCGAGAAAAATTTTGACGAACCTCGTCATCGTCGACATCTCCGTATGGAGATGGCTGCTCGGCGGAGTCTCACGGTGAGCTTAATTAGGACCAGTTCGTTTTAAAGTAGTATGCCTTTTTTTACTCTAATATTATTTTATACTAGTGTGTACTTTTACTTTGTTAATGTATTGTATTGTTTTGAGCAGATCCACTTATTTATAAACGCCTTAGTTGTGCAAATCGTTAAAATTTTCTCTTTTTCCTAAATTCTTGATAAGAAGAAATTTTACAACTTCCAAGAACTTATAAGATGAACTTCCTTGACTACTTTTAATTAAAAAAAACATTCTCAAATCTTCAGGAATCCAGCAACGACAAACTTATCGTGAAAAAGTTGAGCACTGCCAGTGTGCCATCATACAAGTATTCATGGCCGATGAGCGTATCTCGAGGTAAGTTCCTCCTACATTTGGCTCTCGATTAAGTAAATTTGGGTGATCTTCCAAGAGGACAAGATTGGGGGATTGAATTCGTTAGTTTTGCTAAGTTGCGACATCGAAGAGAGAGAATTCAAGCAGCTGAAAGTTCTGTACATGAGAACGGTAATTGTACTGTAAATGTACTGTAAATGAGTGTTCAAAAACGAGATTTCGCAGTGGTTTTAAACTTTTCTATGTCCTTTTTTTGGGTATTCGATTCAACCCTGTCTGCTACTTTTAATTCAAATATTCCCGGAATTTCCATTATTCTTGTAGCTCGATCTCCCAAACTTTTTTTTAAAAATTTCATTCGTGCTAATTGCTACAGGTAAGCCCTCCAATGTTCTTCTGTTTTCAACAGAATTTATCCGGAATTTCTTTAACCAACGTTGTACGTTATCTCCAGTTGTGCAATTATATTTGGCTCAAAAACTCAAATGCTCTTCTTTTCAAATCACGTACAGCTGTTTTCAGAGAGGTTCTTTAAGTAAAAGCTATAAATGGCGTTTACCATTGACGTACCAGCTAATGATATAATCATCTGTAATTGGAATGTGAATATCAATCATTCTACAAATTCCTAAAAAATGCAT